TACTACATTCATGTTGCTGAGCACACTGGCACTGAAGGAAATATGAAAATGGTATATGCTTAAGGAAAAGACACATTCCATGAGGGTACACACTAGTGCAGAGACAGAGAGCAGACAATAAATAAGCTGCCGAGAAAGGTAGTTGGAGACAGGGACAAGGAGAGAAATCTCCGGAATGGTACTGGGCCTCGCGGGGGCCTGAGCTAGGAGCCTAAGCCAATTTTATTTAGAGCTCAAAGGTAAGATAATCTATAGCTTACACCACAAAGCACACACAGCCATACAATAAACAGAGAGAGATTGGAATTTTTAAAACTAGAAACAAGGAAATATGTCATTGAATAGGAGGTCAAAGTCTGGGAAAATAAATATGGCATGCTTATGAATGGGGTCTATCTATTTGGGTAATATGGAAGGAACGGACTGGCCTCAGGGGCTCACTGGTGAATTTAAGTTGCAAGCTTCCACAATCTGTTTGGCATCACCTGGACCCGAATCATGGGTGCCCTGGAGCTTTCTGCACACCAGCTGTCCCTGACCTTAGGCGACTGGGTCAAACCATTTAAGCCTCCACATTCTCCTTTCCTATAAACAAGGATTGTATGATCCATTTCACACATACACTAAAATTCTTCATTTTCATTTAGTACATGCGAATGCCAAGCTGCAACTTCATGACTCTTAGTTTAATTCTTGTGATAATTCTTTGAAGTATTATATTCTCATTGGGCATCTCATTGTCAACGGAAGTTAAATAACTTTTCTAAGCACAAAGATTATGAATATTAGAGCCACTAGAATGGCCCATTGGTACTGATGGTAGGAATATTAGCAAAGAGAGTGAAAGCCGTAACTCTGAATTTTCTATTACTGACTTATTTATTACAGGAAATCCCAAGATACCTCTGTAGTAATGAATTCTTTGTAAACTTTCCTTCTGGTCATTTTACATGTTTTTCCCCACAATTTCTTTATTTCATTTGACAAGGGTGGAATGCCTTACTCATTTATCATCATTAGTTCAATTCTTATTAGAGTACCAGCTAATTCATCTTGTTAGTTAATGGGAACTAGGTCTGAGACTTGGCAGGAACCAAGCCTATTCCTAAAATGACAAAAACATTAACACTGGTCCACCGTCACCATGGACTGGCAGAAAGAAATCCCGCTGTACAGGAGTAATGAATGTAGAGCCACAGCACATGTGCAGCTTCATGAGCCAAGCCCAGGAGGAGCTCAGAAGGCCCATCTCCCACCTGGGCCCACAGGGGACCCCGGGGACAGGGGGTGTCTGCCAGATCCACTGCCCAACTACACAACAATAGCAGGGTCTCCGTGGCCCTGGAAACCCTTGCCATTCCACTGTCCTATAATCTGAGTCTCCGTCACCATTTGGAGAAGAAGTATGGACTAACACTATAATACACAGGCTAACAACTGATTGATAAAGTGCAGGCTAACAAAGTAATGAAGGCCTGTGTTCGTGTGTTGGGTAACACACTGAGCATTAGAAATGCCACATCTTGGGCTGGGGATTTAGCTCAGTGGTTTCGCCGCCTGCTGTGCATGCGCAAGGACCGAAGTTCGATCCCCGGTACCAAAAAAAAAAAAAAAAGAGAAATGCCACTTCTCCCTGGGAGAAAGCAAAATGAATGCCTACATGACCTGAAAAATACAATGCCTGTAGCATCCCAACATTCTGAAGAACCAATTTCCCTGTGCCTACTACATGAACCAATTAACACAATGTTAAACCCACGAGTAAGGTTTGTATAAATTCAAGAGTCTGCCTTATGCTATTTTAAAGAGTTTTACATTCTATAAACACTTGAAATCTTGTATTTATTCTATGTCCAAACAAAATAGTACCCAATTGTTTTTTTCTAGTGCCATAACCTCAAGTTTCTCAATTTGCTTTATTAAGTTTGAAGGAAAAAAGAAAAAGAAAAAATAACCCACTCTAATTGATCTTCAAATAACATAAGCATTGTGTTGGCAGGCTTTATAAAAGCATGTTCTCCAGAAGTTTACAAGAACTAAGCTTTCATTGTAGGTATTATGGGTCAAAGTGAGTGATGGAAAGTCTTCCATTTAAAAAATCATTTAGGGCTGGGGATTTAGCTCAGTGGTTCCGCCGCCTCCCTTGCAAGCAAGCGCAAGGTTCCAAGTTCCAACCCCAGTACCAAAAAAACCCACATTTAGATAGAATGACTACAGCTTGCTGGGGTCATGCAGGATCTTGCTAAAAGAAAACAGTCAAGGTGCAACCCTCTTGCTTTCAAACACAAAGGTCGGGCCAAGCGCTTGGAATCCTGTTGCTGCTAATAACAGCTCTTTCTATGCATTAAACTTGTCGCACCAGCCCAGATGTTTGACATATGAGAGGCCTGGCTGTAGAGCTCTCAATAGTTCCATTACAGGGCACTTAGTCTCCAAAGACTCTGCTCTTGTGGACAGAATTTAATTTGGACCATTTTTCTAGGTGGTAGATTTTTGTGATTAATGTCTCCAAATAGGTTAAAAGGTTAAATAACACTGATGACTCCAATTTAGTGTATGCACTGTACTTCCACTGTATATAATTCATCAGAGTTTTAGTTATCTTAAACATTTAGTTAAACTTACTTTTCACTGGCCAAACACTCAGAATCTTTACAAATCATATCAAATAGCTTCATTTCTATAGTTAGAAGAATCAGCTACCACAGTGCTGTGGTTAAATGAAATTATCTAAAATGAAGATAAATTCTTTATGTAAATATGTCAAAATATATCTAATTAACTCTACATAGAATTATTAAAACTATGCCTTTCTGGAGAGAGAAATTTAGAAGCGACTTCTGGAAAAACACAGCAGTGACAGCTGGTAATGTGACTTTATTTTTTCTATGAAACTGTAAAGAGTAGGCATGAGGACTGATTGGTGGCTGCCCATAGTCCCATCACACAACACAGGTGCCTATTAACTCATTTAATCCTCCCAGCAAACCCTTGAGATGGGGGCTACTCCTGTTCTCATCATATCGATGAGACCACCACCGAGGTCAGAAAATACCTTGCCAGGGTTTAAATCTGGGTAGTCTAGATCTGGCATCAGTCCTTTCACCTGCTATTTGTATAATTTGTTTAGATGGATAATTTATATTTACAAAGTATTATTCATGCTATATCAGGAGGCTCTTTTACATTTGATGATGAATCCCATGCCAAATGGTCTAGTTTATTTCACAGAATTCCACCAAATATGATGCAGTTTACTAAAGCATTAACTGTCATGGGAAAAGATGTTTCTGAATCACTCACACCCTGGGGAAACTGCATGCCATTTTAATTCAAAGTTCACAGAGATTAATTTCTAAAGCGTAAGTTGAAATAAATATTTCCCTCAACAGAAAACTAATCAACTTTTATTTCTTGAAGGTAAGCAAGATCAGATAGACATCCCTTGGATCTAACTTGTAATTCCAGAAAGGCAAAGAAAGAGAGCAAGCGTGATGAAGAAGCAAGTCTGGTTCTTCTGGGAAAATACAGTGATTTAATCCAAGATATTACGTCAGGGGGGTCACCATATCACTGGTGAAAAAATCTAAAATGGAACTACAGGACTAGAGCGCCTGACTATTGTTCTGGAACTAAAATATCATAGAAGAAAAAAGATTTGAATCTGATGCTTTCAAAGCTAATATCTGATATTAACCCTATTAAAGCAATTGCTTAGATCTGTATCACATTAACCAAGAAAGAGAATCTTTTACATTCTTATTCTTGTCACCCAGAACCAGATCCTTCCATGACGGAGTCCTCTGGGATAAAACCTGAATTTTTGTACGATGTCTCTTAGGTCACCCAAGCGATAATGTACAAAAGTGTATACCCAGGAAACCATGAGGTCCCTTAGCCCCTAAGTACCTATCAGAGAATGCCTAAGGTACCACAAGAGCCAATCTGAAACAACCTTAATGATTTTGTAGGTTTTTAAAAAAATCAATACTGTACCTGTTTATTTGTTAACAGTATTTTGCCACATATTTGAGTTACTGGATATTTTAGCTTTCATTAATAGAGGTTAAATACTCTTTTATCACAAAGGTGTGGCCCAGGTGAATAAAAATTTTTGAAAGGAACATTTTGAAATCTTTTATTTTGCATTTATCTTGAAATTAAATTCAGTCTGCCATTCATTTTGAATTTTTTGAACTTAAATTATGAGAACTCTGCAAACAATTCATAAGGAAGATACTCTAAAGAACTCATAAAGATGGTAGGTTTATATTAAGGAATTAGTTTTATCAAGACTAAAGAGAGATTTTTCTAGATAAGTGTTTTAGCTATCAGCCAAGGCTAACTTATATAATTTCCAACTCTATGAATGTAGATAAATGAAAGTAGTAATTTTAGTTTTTGTTCGAAATGAGAAAAATGTGATGTAGATTGAAGTAATAATATTCTAAAATCAGATTCAAGAAACTTACATCAAATAGCTGACATAAACATCCAGCAAACTACATTGTTGAAATTTTAATAAAATGTACTATGTAATCTATTATAACTTTTAGGGATAACAAAACATAGAAGAAGCTATTTCATTCATAAAATAAAACTTGGCTCAAGGAAATAGTGTATGTAATTAACCTATATAAGGAAGTTCTTTGGTGTTGCAATTGTTAACATAATTTTTAATAAGTGTATCTTATTCTGCTCTTAAATATGTGATTGTCTCATTTGAATGTATTGTTTAATCTGGTAAATATATAATAAATGTCTGTAATGATACAGAAACAAAACAGTGTAATTTTACTATTGTAGCTAATTTTCCATTAAAAAAACTAAAAATTTGATTTGTGGAAAGGTTAATATATTTGGTCATAACAATGTCAGAAGGGGATGGCGTATTTTTAATCCATTGTTTGTCATATTTCTTCAGGAAGTAAGTTTCAAAATACTGTTTTATGGATCTAATACATAAAGACAAGAATTGTCCTCAAACATTTTTGAAAGTTTATTCATAATCATTATATTCATATTCACCTTTCAATGTTCAAATGGAGCAAAACAAAGAACTTGCATCAAACACGCTACTTTCATTAGAGTTACTTATTCAAGATTGTAGCCCTAGGAATGGACATCTTAAAGCTCAGAGAAGCTCAGAATTGTCTCTTACTTTTCAGGCACAATACCATAATGGCCAAACATCGGTCACAGTGTTAAGCAAGAAGACCCAAGTTTGCTGGAGATGTAGCTTAGGGTTAGAGCACTCGGCTAGCATGTATGGGACCTGAATCCACTCCCTACTACAAGGGGATCAAAAAAAAAAAAAGATATAAGCTAGATTTAACATATATCTAAAACAACTTCTGTTAAATGATTCAACATGAATGATATTAGGAAAGTTAATGCATTTGTTTCTTAGATAAACTGTCCAAGAATCTTGAGCTACTTTTTGTGTGTGTGTGAGAATCCCTGAGGGAAGTTAAAGCTGAGAACTTCTGTTTAGTAAAACTAATCAAGAGTAGCCTAAAACCAGAAGGTGTAGCCCTGCTTAAGCCACAAAGCTTAATCACAGGATGATATAATCATACAGCTACTTATATTTGGCTTAAGTAGTTCAGCCCTCTCATATTAAAGGGAAGGAAAAAAACTAAGAAAAATGAAGAATTACCCATGAACACTTGGGATAGCACAGTAACAAACATAAAATTATAAATAAATCTCTGGCTTTCTGATTATATGTTTTCTATTAAGCACTGCAGTCATCAAGGAAGTAGCCATACATATAAAATGCACAATTAATCTTTTAAATACTTTCCTGACATTGTTTCAATCTGATATTTTTCTGTTATGAAGAAAAAACAAGTTTCTATTTTCTTCTGTCTGCCTGTTTGTATTATCTATCTATATATTTTGGTTACTGAATCAAATTCAATGATTAGATTCAATGTTGGCCTTACGGAGAAATTTGATTTGGTTCTCCTCCAGTTTAGTTTGGAAGCAGAATCATGGAGAGAACTGAGTTCGTGAACTGAACTTTAGCTAATGAAATATATTTATTCATATTCCTCGAATCTACCAACATTCTCTGAGAACTTCATAAACCAAGGGGCATTCATAGGCTAAGTAAACTGAGACTGGGGGATTTATATATTTAAGAGGAGCCAAAGGTGACCACCTGAGGCCACCATGTGACTTACTATGTGATGCAAAACACCCCCACCCCAGCAGGCCTCCTTCAGGGGGAGAAGCAATGACAGTATCATGAGGAATGTGGTACTTGAGATGCTTCTGAAAAATGGATAAAATTTGGGTATGCAGAGACAGGGTGAAAAGGGCAGCTCAGAAAAGGAAAGAGAAAAGTCAGGAGCAAGAAGGCCACCGCATGGTAATGTGCAGGAAGCCAAGGTGTGGAGTTTGCATTCCCAGGGGCAACATTTCCCCTCGCCGGGCCACCGGGCCGCTGGGCCTGGTTCAGAGCAGAGGCCAGAGATGGAAGGCAGTAAGAGGGTGGGCTTAGATGAGTCGTAGATGACAGGGCCTGGGGAAGGTACCGGAGTTGCAGCTGGCAGGAAAGCGATGAACAGGGGATTTCAGGTAGTATGCGCACTCTACAAGAGAGAAAGGGCAGCAGCTGGGTAGGGGAGTTTGCCAAACCGGACATCTGCCACTCTGTACCACAGCATGGGGTCCTGTGTCTGGGTCCTGGGTTCTCCTTCCAGTCCTTGGTTCACTGCTTGTGTTGGGGGAAGGAGTGGAAAGGTAACTTGAGCAGGTGGGCTTCTTGGAGGGGCAGGGGCCGACTCTGCAGGGCGTCCCTGGCAGGTGACCTGTCCTGTGAGGCAGTTCCAGGGCTCTGGCGTCACCCTGAGACACAGGCCGGCCACGACTGAGTGCCACCTTCTGCACCGCTCCCCACTGGCGCTTTTGTGCAGGGATCAGAAGGTATCACAAGGATCAGAGACTGCACGGCCTTGAGTCCACAGAGGAGACTCACGCTAAGTGCCGAAGCATTTCTCACGTTTCATATTCAACGAAATATCCTGAAATGTTCAAAGGAAAAAATCAGAAAACTTAAAGAAGAAAGAGCAACTTATGAAGAAAGAATAACTAAATTTTCTGAAAAATATGGCAGGTGCTTAACAATTTACCATTTTTACAAAGTGTTAACTCTCAGGGCTCTTAGGGCCCTGTTAGTAAGTTAATGTATACATGCACCCAAAGGTGAATTAAAAGACCTAAAATTGGCTCATGCTTATGCATGGGTTTTGGAGCACCAAGAATATTATGACAGAGCTACAATATTTTGACCTTAACCTTTGAACAAGTCAGGTGTATGTATTGCTCCCTTTCTGGACCTCCCACTGGACTTGTTAAAAATGTCTGTTCTGTAATTTATAACATTAATTCTACAGCTGTTTAGTTAGTAGTATCTATATGTCTGGTCTGAATGTCAGGGATAAAAAGTTAAGTGAGACACAGCTCATAACTCAGTCCTTTGGTTAATTATGGATTTTACTAGCTACCTGATAGCTAGAGTCCCCCCTCTTAAGAAGGATTTTGTCATTATCTTTAAATGTTTATAATCTAGACTTTTAATAAAACTATTCAAAAATTATGTTGAAGTTAATATTAAGGTTAAAAAATCATTTGGTTAGCAACATTCATACTTAAATTTTTTAGCTCAAAAAGCAATACATTCTGGTACTGAGGACTGAATTCTGGGCCTTTGCATTGAGCTACATTCTCAGTTTTTGTGTTTTTTTTGGTACCGGGGATGGATCTCGGGTCCTTGAGCTTGCGCAGCAGGCAGCGAAAACACTGAGCTAAATCCCTGGCCCTCTCAGTTCTTTTTTATCTTTTATTTTGAGACAGTATCTTGCTAAGTCACTACATTGCCCAGGCAGGGCTGTGGTTTGCAATCCTCCTGCTTCAGCCTCCTAGGGTAAAAGAATTACAGGCATGTACCACTACATCCGGCTCACAATCTTCTATTTTTTGGTGTTTCTTGTTTGATTCTTGGAATAAATACAATAAGTGGCTGCTAATACCAGTTAATTACTTCACCAGTGTACAAAACAGCGACTTGAGTTTCCCAAAGAGTCCTTACATTGTCACTTAGGAACAGAGAAGGTTTCTGGTTTCACAATGTGTCTCATACTTCAGGGACCATTCCACCATCACGTAGCTAATTTTTCGGAGAAATAACAGAGGGGACTCTTGTTAGTTTAGAATATCATTTCATGTTTTCTGTTGTTATTTTAGTTTTTTCCATGTCTATAAAACTAAGTGTTAGGAATGGCTTTGGGATCTTTGAATATTATCAATTAGATCTGTCAATGCTACAGTTGAAATATATCTACATCTCCATCTGGTTGGAGCCCAATAAATTTTAAGTGGTTAGATTCATACATCTTTCCTATAGCGTCCACATTGGACAGAAGAACAATTCAAATGAAAATATGAAGTATGATAAAATATAAGCCAAATTAGAAAACAACTTTGTATCGTTTTCCTTAAATTGAAGGTCGAGAAAAGGGGAGAGGGCAGGGGAGAGGTAAGGTAACTGTTCAAATTAGTATCATAAAGTCACATTTAAAGTATAAAGTGGCTTCAACCTAAAGTAATATAGAGGAAAATATTTCTTTCAAATAATGAAGCAATCTAGAGTGCAGTTCTGAAAACTGATGCACTGTAATATGGCAGTTCAGCGTAACTATGAATTTCAACTCACAGTTGCATAATATTGCTATGAGTTATGGGACAAATGAAAATATGGGGAACTACATAATGTGTACCAACAGTAGTTGATAAGAAGAGTATCTTTCAAGGCATTCTTTTAAAAATTCACTTTTCACTTTCTCCTTTCTTAGATGATTACAAAATTCTTAGTTTTTTTAAATTTTTGGTATTTTTGGAAGAGTACATGTTGATATTTAAATAATTCTATTATCTGAAACATATGAAGTCTCCTGAGCATATCTCATGAAATCAGCACTTTGGTATTGGCGTGCACTAATGTACCTATGTATCAGCCCCTTTTCTTGTCCCCGAACATGGCCTTAACTTGGCCCAAATAAATTAAAGTTCTGAGTCACGTGGAAGGAATAACTATTTGGTAAACCAGTTAGTTAGGGAGTGGCGGAGAGAAAGCAAGAGGAAGTGGCAGAGAAAGGTGGAAGAAATGGCAGTTATGATATTGTACATCTATAAAGAAACAGACTGAGGGAGGCTGGGGTTGTGTCTTCCACTGCAGATGCCACCTGGGCATACATTACCTGATCCTTACTATATGCACATTATGATGCTAAGAGCAGCCTTTATTATACTCCACGTGTCCATAGAGATACCATGAAATGTAATATGATCCTATTCATTAGAGTTTGGTGTGACTGAGACCTGCCAGGGCTATTGCATGGTTCTTTATTAAGGAAGAACTTTCTTGGATGCGAATGCACAAGTCCTAGGCTGCAAACTACCACCACGACCACCACAAAAACAAAAATACACCAGCTTCTTATTTTAAGACACAGTCAAGGTATACAAACATTCCTTGTTTAATGACTCAACTATTTTATGGCTTACAACCCGCTGCTTGGACTTGTGACCAGTATTCAGGCTTACCGTACAAGCAGGTTTGTGAGTGGCAGTGGGGCCTTACGGTGGCTTCTTGTACGGTACAGTGCTGTAACTTCTGCTGACTGTACTGTACAGTACAGCACTCTAGCTTTATGTTCTGTTATGCATTACAGTACTGCAGGTTAGCATTATGCAAATAAAAGCAAAGTCATCAAGCTGGAGTTCCCTTTGACCATTTCTTTGTTCTGAATACTGTGACATACAAGTCCTCATTTAGTGACAAATTCATTTAACCACCTAGTCACAGGAACAAAAGTTGGTCATTAAATGAGAAATGACTGTGCGGAAACCATGAAAGTTACTATGTGGAGGGTACTATGGGGTTTAAAGAATGCCTTGGTCAGAGGTTATGGAGTAGAAACTCTGACAGCTGATCAAATCATGCTTGCTGTGAAACACTGATACTCCATGGGTTCATTTGCCTCCCTCCAAAAAATTATGCATCTGTTATCTTTGAGTCCACTTATTTATTCCACATATGTTTAATGAGAACCCAACCTTGCTTGCTAGGAGTTTATTGTCCGGTGACCGAAAGTAACAGTGAGAACACAGTGTAAAATCAGCCTGTGGAAAATGGTAGGAAGAAAAGCAGAGACCTATGGAAATGGACCTAGAGGAACAGTGACAGAGAGGTGCTGCTTGCAGGTACAGAAGTTAGGAAAAGCTGAAGAAGGTGACAATTGAGGGAACTTATAATTAGGTGCTGTCCCCTTTGATTCCATGCTCAGTCTGCTCTTAAACTTTTGTGTGTATAAACAGATCACTTGAGAATAATCTGCATGTTCATTCTTTGCAAGGTCTGGCAGCAGTACTTGATGAATTAAACAATTTAAATATTAAATACAAAATAAATCATCGAAAGATGAAAAGGAACTTTAGTCCAGATTGTAGAATTAATATTAAGCCGAGAGCCCCATTAAAGCACTTTCCCTCATGTTCATTCAAAGTATTACTTTCAGTATCAACCATATGCTTACCCTACAAAGTAGCCGTAAATGGGATGCATGATGGATTCTACCTTATGAAGCTCAACTTCTACTGGGGAATCTACTCATGTAGATGAGAGAGAGATATCAAACATTCTTTATCTCGAATCGTCACAGATGGAGTTACACATACTGAAATTGGTGTCTGTCTTCCTCTCGTCCTCTTTCCCATGCACAGGAACGATTCCCTTTATTCTTCCTTTCTGGGAAGAGCTCGTAGTATTTTTGCACAAGGTTTAGCTAGTTCTTAGACTTCTGCTTACTGAAAAGGGGTAAGAATCGAGATTACACAGTAGATGTAGAGTTTTGGCGCAGGCCATGGTCACAATCTCGCTGCTTGACACAGCTCCGGTGAAACCGAGGCTGTGGCTAAAACCCCGACTCTGTCCTTTGCTTTTGCTTTCCACGGCAGTGATTCCCTCGGTGCTGTACTCCCCGGGAGATCACTGAAAGGATAAAAGTCAGTACTCCGGAGATGGTTACTAGGCCGGGATTACAGGAAGAAGCTGTAAATCCATTTACAGAAAAGCCCCTCACTCATGCCTCCATGAGTAGTGGGGACGTGACATCCATAAGCCCTGACTGCACAAAGGTAAACTGGGACATCCACAAATTCATGACGCAGTTAGGGCTCTTGGAAATGCTGGGTACTTCCAAGACTCGGACAAATGGTGAGGCCCTGACTGCTTTAAGCCCACAACTATTTGCAGCAAAACAGGGATCTCGGTCCATAGAAAATAAAGGAAAGTATGGGCCTGTCCCAACGGCTGAGCCCCCTCCCAATGTAGCTTACAGGTGGAACATTATGATGCCCACCAAAAGGAACAAATTCCATACAACGTTTACCCAGATTAGATTTACCCCTGCCATATGACAAATACTGCTTATGAGAGGAGTTAAAGAAAGATGAACAAAAGAAAGGAAAAAATAAGGCGCCCCACAGTCTGGCACCTGGTCACCCTTGGCCAACACCTGCAGGGCACACAACAATGAGATCTGATGAAACTTGGCCTAATGACGTAGTCTGACCTTTGTAAAGTGCTTCTTGTTCCTCAAATGTAAATCTGATAAGTTAGCAAGAGTTCACGTAGCAAACGGAGGAGTATTTAGAACTGGGTGGTCTAAAATACTTTTTTAGATGATATCAGCTTTTCTTTAACTCTGTATGAAAACACACTGTGTATGGACCCACGTGCTTACCAAAGCTTTGTGTAATCAAAACATATATAAGTAAAGTAATTTTGGTATAACTCAGACAGAGAAGCTGAGCTGCCGACCCTCCACTCAGTGTCTGTTTCATTCTCTCATTGCCGACTCCACACCTCCTCTCAGGACCTGAACCCGCTGGAGCTGGACTCCAGCAGAGTTTCCCAGTCATACCAGTATCAGTCCCTTGTAATGATATAGGCAGTATAACAAAATTACATATGCTTTGTAGAATCTTTACAATATGTTAGGTTCTTCATATATACTAAACTATTTACTTGTACCCCAACTATGTTGAGTATCTTTTACTGGTGAGTAAATAAAGCTAGGAGAGGAAAGACCATGTAATTGAGAGCAGGGAAATCTGACTCAGAAGACATATTAATCTAGTGCCAATATTTGCACCATAGACATTAAGAACAAGGTGAGAACAGGAAAAGGCTGAATCAGATGTTCCTTTATCTCATGAAAGATCAATGGGATAAAGCTGAGTTAGCAGAAAATAATAGGTAAAAGAATTTGAGAAGCATGCCTGGGCATAGCCCACTCAAACCATGTTGAAGCGAGAAGGCATCTGCCCAATAGGCTCCTACTCCTATAGTTTCATTCATTTATTCATTCTACGATACATTTTTCACTGTTAATGTGTCCTCGATGCCACTCTAGATGCTGACAGAGCATTGGACAAGATCCACAAGGGCCCTTGTCCTCGTGAAATTTGCAGATGCCAGGAATTCTATCGAGGGAGAATTAAACTACTTACATAACCTCATTAGAGTTACGAGACTCACATTATTCCAAATATATGTTGCCTGGTAATATGACTATGACTAGCTGTCTACTTACATCTTTCATAGGAGAAGTCAGTGTTCTTGACAAACTAAGAATTCTGATCTACATTACAACCACCTGCCTCAAAGAAAGCAATAAAGAGGTAGATTTATTTACACAGAGAGAAATCAAACGGTGAATAAAATGACAAAACATAAAATTTAAAACTTTCAAGGTTTAGGACAAGACCTGGTCAATGGTAAATTCACTAACGTTATGCTGTCCTGTGAAACTGATTGACCTAGCCAGCTAAGTACTCCAAATATTCACTGGAGCATTTCACTGTCATCTTTTAGATCAATTAAGCCCAACACAAATTACAAAATAAACATAGAAAATTTAAAGTTAGATATGTTTCCTATTAAAAATTTATTAAAGTTATCTGATTAGAGTTATTTGCACTTCATATTCAAGAAAAGTACTGTGCACATTCAAAGTAATCTTCTAAATTTAGATCTTAATCCCCATAGTTACCATCTTGCATACTATGAACATGATAAATAGATAAATAGATTTCTCCCTTTTATGATTTCCTCCAATGACTCAAAACAAGTTAATACTTTCCTAGCCATTAGGGCTCAACAGGAACTAATTTCACAAATTTAAAATGCTGAATGGGCCCAAAGTACCTTATTTCCAAGCCATTAATACTAAGCCAAAAAGAGACATGATTGAAATTTTTAAAGAATCAGCTGGCTTTACAGAAGGACATTCTAACTGATTATTCATTAATTATATGTCCAAAATCGCTTGTTTTCAGTATTACAGAATTTTAAAATAAAATTTTAAAAAAACCTTCTAACATAAAAAACTTCTAACATAGGAAGTTTAAAAATCATTGAAATAGTGAAGGCGTATACCACAAAGATGCGTTAAGTTCAATAATAAACTTCATGTATTCTCAGGGGGGCAAGGTGATTTTTAAAACAATAGTTTAACACTAGCATAGTTATATAATACCATATAGTTTTTATGTAACGGTCTCTGAACTGAAACAGACAAATGTGAACGTTCATTAAATTTACTGTGAGGGTGAAGAAGTGATGAGTGAAGCATTGTAGATAAGATGACAAGACCTGCAGATCACTTCCTATTTTGCTTCCTCCCTGTCTCAGTAGTGGAAAGATGTGTTCCACTAAAACTTCACAACAGCCAAAACTCTACAGATCTCCCCCAAACAACTTCACAGTCCCTACCTATACCTTAGCTCCCTCAGTAAAATAGCCTTCTGTTCTTCCTTAAATTTTCACAAGGCAGCCAATTTTTCTCTATGAGAAAAAAATTTTCTTTCTTAAAATAGTTCTTCAAAATGTTTCAAGACGCATTTTCCTGTTTAAACTCAGCCTCCCAGTCTATAACAAATCACTTCCTATAAGTGAATCAAGTGCTGTTGTCATCTTTTTATATAGCATCTTTCTGAACACTTACAAATAAAATAACAGTGTATTTATAGAGGATGAATAAGACGAAGAGGAATTAGTTCAGGTAAACATGACATTAGAAACAGTAAAACAATGAGAATTATATAAATTGCTTTTGAAAACTAGTGCTATATCCTACACCATCTGTGTCTACTTTGTTAATCATCAAAAGCTTTATCTCTATTTGGTTTCTCCACTTTGGAAGGCAGCCTGAGAATAATTTTGAATAGGAAAGCAAGCAGCAAAAACAAATAAAGGGTTACATTCATTACCAGACACTGGAAGGCAGGAAAGAAATGGTGGCACAAAATTGAGTTGTGACTCATTACCCCAAATCCCTCATATATCCTGGTGAGCTGTCGGAGAAGAGGATCCCACTGAAACAATATTTTCAATGGTGGCACTTCCTATCAAACTGGCATTGACATAAGCCCTGGAGGTCATATGTTTTCTAGCTTTCCTGTTAAAGAATAAACTCCAGAAATAATCAAAGAAGTCAAATTCTGTCCTTATGATAATTCATATCATCAGCACCCAAGTTGGGCTCCTTGTGTCACAACAAGGAGCCCCAAATATTCCTGTAAACACACACAAGGTCTATTTTCGCATGATCTTCTGTATATCTACTGCTGCCTTTTACAAAGCTATGGATTTAAGTTAAATGCTATCTCAGTCATTTGGGTTAGAAACCCCTCACACCTGACAGAAATCAGGCAGCTTGCCCTCAGACATGGGCTCACACACAGTTGCACATAAAGTCCGAGGATCCAGAGCTCTCTGGAAGCTAAGTCATACAGTGCAAGGGGATCACACATTCTTGAAATGGAAAGGTAAAAAATAGATGTTTTTTATGGCTGAATTGAAAAATAAATTTAAAAGCAAGCAATAGAAAGAACCAAGCAAAAATAGAAAAGTGAAAGAACAGCACAACTGTGAAAGTGTTCTATACTTGTGTTTGTTAGGAGGAGCACCCCAAGCACCTTGTCCTAGCTGCTGCTGATGTTCTCACCACCTGAATGCTGGTGGATCCATGAGAAAAATGCCCTTTTCTGCTTATTTATTTGAGTCAGACTACCTCTAAGAGGATGGCCTACATTCCATCACCTAGTTTTGAAAACTCTTGAGCCCCAGATCTGTCCTACAGGGGCACATTTCCAAACTAAAATGAGGATACCCCTTAAGTATATTTATGGCAACATGAATGCTATCTAGGAAACCTGTGATGTCAGATATGAGCCTTGTCTAATGGGTCTCCTCATCTGGATGGAACATGCAACCCACAACTGCTCTGCAGTTATGTATGCTAACGTTTGAAGTTTACTTTGAAATTCATAGGTGAGCTGCCCACAGTGCAGAGATGGTGAACCTTCCGGGCCACCATACCACTGCCCCCTGTGTTGAGGAGGTAAGCCATGTGGGTGCCAGCAGCACATGTCTCTCCCCTGACCACTGAAATGAGAAGACACTTAAATAAGTCTCAAAACCAGACTCCCAAATCACCAAAAGCAACCCCAAAGGGAAAGGAGATGAAACAATCTGATACTCAACCACCTGGAGTCCCTGAACTGGCAACAAGAGGACCTGGAAAAAATGTTATCAGAAATAATTTCTTAGATAACAGCAGAGATTGTGCCCATAGTGCAAGATATGATTAATAAGTCTAGAGACGACATAGATAAAAAAAATTGAGGAGCTGAGGAACATGAAGGAATACCATCATATGAAACAAATGCAATCCATAAAAGAGATGCAAATAGATTTCCAGGAGATTAAAACCTCTACTGACAGTTTATGCAGCAAAATGAGTCAATGTGAGGACAGAATTTCAGATATAGATGGCAATTAGTGAATGGGAAAAGAAAAATTTCTTTAAAATAGTAAGGGACCATGAGAAATCAATCCAGCAGCTGCTAGATGATGCAAAGAAGAATAACATAAGACTGATTGGAGTCCATGAAGAAACAGCAGAGTTTCTTCATTGCAGATGACATAAAAAAAGTGTTCACAGAAGTGATGGCAGAAAACTTCCCAAGCAAGGGAAAAGAACTTGACATAGAGATAAGTGAGGCATATAGGACTCCAGCTAGCCTTGATCAAAAAAAAATCTACACATAGGCATATAACAGTTAAGATTCCAGAAACCCAACAAAAGAACAAAATTCTACAAGCAGTTAAAGAAAAAAAATCACATACAAAGGAAAGCCTATCAGAACCACAGCAGACTTCTCAATGCAAACCCTCAAGGCAAGAAGGGCTTGGAGTGACATATTTAAAGCCCTAAAGAAGAACAGCCTCCAATCCAGACTGATGTACTCTGCAGAACTATCTTTCAAAATTGATGGAGAAATAAGACACTTTCATGACAAAGAGCACCTTAGGAACTTCATGAATATCAAACTAGCACTCCAAAAAATTTTAGACAATAACCTAGGAAAAGACAATGAGGACCACAACCCCAGAAAGCCCAGCAGAATGAATCCATCTGGCATGACAAGAAGTTAAACACAAAGGGGAAGAATCCAACAGAAAGGAAAAGTCATGATAATGATAAGTTAATATGTATCAGTTATAACCATCAATGTTAATGGTCTCAACTCACCAATCAAAACAAATAGACTGGCAAAATGGGTCAAGAAGCAAGGTCCAACCATATGCTGCATAAAAGAAACACAGTTAATTCAAAAAGAAATTCATAGACTGAAAGTTAAAAGGTGGAAAACAATACTCCATGTGACAGGAACATGGAAAAAACCAGGAGTAGCTATCCTCTTTGCAGACAAGTGGATTTCAAACCCACGCTGATTAAGAGAGACAAAGAAGGACACTACATTCTTGTAAAGGGAACAATCCAAGAGGAAGAAATGACAACCATAAATATATATGCACCAAACACTAGTGTGCCGAACTATATAAAACAAATACTAATGGACATGAAAAATCAAATAAGCACTAACATAATAGTAATGGGGGACATTAATACCCCACTGTCACAAATAGATAGGTCAAAACTAGACAAAAAATGAGCAACACAATACTAGAAATCAATCAAATTCTTGAACAAATCAACTTAACAGATGTTTACAGAATATTTCACCCCACAAAATCAGAATACACATTCTCTTCAGCTGCATATGGGTGGTTCTCCAAAACAGACCACATACTCACTCACAGAACACGTTTAGTTAAGTCCAAAGTCATTGAAGTTATTCCCTGTATATTATCAGACCATAGCGCGATGAAATTGGAGATCCACAGCAAAAGAAACCGCAGGAATTTCATAAACACGTGGAAATTGAACAACACACTTATGAATAACCAATGGGTCACAGAGGAAATTAAAGAAGAAAT